CTGCTGAAGGCCACTAGGACACCCAGTGCCCTAGGTAGGCCTCGGAAGAACCATGGCACATCGCCCCAGGAAGCCAGCACAGGGGTCAGGGATGAGACGTGGAAGGCTGTGGTCACAACCTGGAGGACTGCTGGCCCCTGCAATGGGTCAGCACCTGGAAGGCCAGAGTCTCCCGGGTGCCTAGTCAAGAACAGTCTAGGAGACAAGGAAGGGCAGGTGGAAGGAGTGAGTTCTGCGCCCTGAGCCCTTCCCAGGCTGGACCCCAGCCCAGGCCATCTGTCCCAGGCCGAGCACTGAGCAGGGAGTGGCGCCTTTACCACCAGTTCCCTGTGGACAGCTCTGGAGCTCTCTCCCTCAACATGCTCACAGTCTCATCAAGGAACTGTATAAAATAACAGGTGGCAGATGCAGACACAGAAGAAGGATGGAGTAGGGTGCCATTCCTGGTGCCAAGGAGTGAGGACCTCAGAATCCCAGGAGCAGGTGTAAGAATGGCACAGTAGTGATTCCAGTGCCTGCACCCCCAACCCCCCACCACTCACAGAGCACCACCACACACTCAGCTCTCCCAGAGGTTAGAGGCTGACCAAGGTCCAGAGCTCTAACTCCAGGTGTTCCTCCCCTCGCCCCACGGTGGTCTCATGGACTCACTGGTGTGGGGAGAGCCCTGGGCACCCAGGCCAGACACCTGCTGGCAGGTCACCAGAGTGAGCCCTACCTGTCACAAGCAGACATCTCCGACTCTGCATCCCGTAGTTCAAGCCACAGGCTCACTGTCACCTGCAGAATCCGGCTCAGGACTCTTCCAAGAACCATCCAAACATCAGGCCGCGAACAGATGCACAAGCAGGCTCTTGCCAGCCTATGTGGGCCCCAGAAAGCTAGTAACGAGGGGATGCCACTCCAGCCTGCAGTGTGCCCATCTAGCTAAGCAAAGGTCCTGCCAGGAACGCAGTGAGGACAAGCCCGAGCCCCGGCTAAATGGGGTTGGACCTGCCGCTCAGCCTCAGAGACCCCTTGGAGACTTCCGTGTGCACCGTGGACAGGGGCAGGTGCTCAGACCCCTCCAGGGGCGCGCTCTGCTGGCAAGTTAGCACCAAGGCCTTGACCTCCTTCTTGAAGTTGGTGTTGAGAAAGCCGTAGATGAAAGGGTTGACGCAGGTGGAGGCCATGGCAAGCAGGTGGCACACCAGGAAGATGACGTTGCCGTGGCAGACGGGGATGGCCTCGTGGCCCCAGTCCTCCAGGGTGTTGAACACATGCAGGGGCAGCCAGAGCACAGCGAAGGCGGCCACCATGGCCATGAGCACGCCGTTGATCCTCTTCAGCTGCCCAGCTCGAGAGCTGTAGGCGCCCTTGCGGAACACGCGGCCCCGCTTCCGCAGGCGCTGGGAGATGCGTGTGTAGCAGACCAAGATGAAGCCCAGCGGGACGCAGTACTGGGCGAGGAGCAGGAAGGTGGTGTAGATGATGCGGTGGTGCTCCTGCGGCCAGGACTCGGTACAGACCACCTTGTCCGCCAGAAACGCCAGCGCCTTGGAGTGGTTCTTGTGGAAGACCTTCTCCAGCTTGCTGTTCGCCAGGAAGGGCAGAGAGAGAACGCAGGCGATAAGCCAGACGGCCATGATTCCCAGGTAGGCCTGCGGGACGCTGGGCTTCCAGCCTGTCGGGTTGATGATGAGCTGATGCCTCTCCAAGGCCACAAGAACGAGCGAGAGGATGGAGACGGTCACCGACATGCACTGGACGAAGGCCGACATCTTGCAGAGGGTCTCGCCGAAGACCCAGTAGTCCATGACGGTGTAGACGGCGGTGAGCGGCTGGCAGATGAGGCACATGAGGAGGTCGGAGAAGGCCAGGTTGGCGATGAGCAGGTTGGTCACGTTGGCCTTCTCCTTCTGCCTCATGGTTACGCATATCAGGCAGAGGTTGCCCAGGACGCCTACCACGGTCTCGATGCTGTAGGAGGTGACGATGAAGATCATCGGGTCCGTGACATCCTGGCAGTGGTCAGAGAAGTTATACGGGAGGCCCCTCGGCTTGCTCCTGTTCCCACCCTGTGGGGACGCTCGGAGCAGCAAGCCCAGGAACTGAGAGGTGTTCATGGTGGAGGGAGAAGGTTCCAGGAGCTCTTGAACAAGGGGCCCGCTGCAGGATGGTGTCTGCAAGGCAAACAGACAGACTCAGAGCCCCCAGAGTGGAACCTGGGGAGGAGCGGAGGCAGGTGGAGAAGCTCCCAGCTGTCTCCACCCCAGCGACCCGGGACCTGGAGGAACTATCATCTTAACCTCAGAGTGGAAACCGGCGTCCAGTAATCGCTACCCAGGACGAGGCACTCACTGCGTGGCAGGGACTGTGCTCAGGGCTCCACACGTGTCACCTGGCATATCCCGAGAGGTGGGCGCTATCAACCCATTCATAGAGGAGGCAGCTAAGATTCGGCGAGGTTACGCAGTCGCCCATAGTCACGCTCATTGGTGGGGCCCAGGTACAGACTCAGGTCCATCTGAGGTCGGCTCTCATCCCAGGGACAAAGAAAGAAGTGTACTGTACACAGAGCTCAGGAGTGGACTGTTCCGGAAGTGTGGGTAGAAATCACTTGTCACATTTTATCCAAATGCAGACAGTGATAACTGCCGCTGTCCATGTGACTGTGTAAGCCCCTCCGTGGCACCCCAGGGCCTTCAGGATGGACCCGAAAGCTCAGGGCCTGACACACAGTGCACCTGACCTACCCCGTCAGCCTGGGCTCAGGCGTCGTGGCAAGGCTGAAGACTGGCAGGCATGCACAGGAGTTGTATGGGATGGGGGCCCTTTGGCTTGAAAATGGGACAGGACCCATGGCTCTGGCTGCCCGCTGGCAGGGTTAGGTCAGCAGTTGGGAGCGACACCTCAAGCCCCAGACCAACCAGCCTCAGCACAGTTAGAGTGGAGGCCCTGGGCAGGAAGGGCTCCGGAAGAGACTCCCTGCGTGGTCACCCGCTCCGTGAAAATAACAAGTGCCAGGTCCCCGGCTAGAGACGAAGGCCACCAAGATGACTTCGACATCTGACCCTCCTCGGCCAGAGCACTGGCACCGGGAGACTTCGACATCTGACCCTCCTCGGCCAGAGCGCTGGCACCGGGGGCACAGGTGGACCTCAGGGCCTCACTGCCATTGCCAAAGCCAGTGTGAACAGGACATCCAGGGTGTGGGAGAGCAGAGGAGGAGCAGGGCAAGGAGGTGAGAGAAGAAGTAACACCGATCTGGGGCTTGGACACAGAGGAGTCAACACCCGCGGGCGGCCGAGGGAGAGGAAGGAGCTCAGCGTGCAGGGAACAGCATGTGCGAAGGCACAGAGGCAACGAAGAGCAGCCCCCGGGGACAGCGAGCAGCCACAAACACCCACCTCACCTACAGCAGGTGGGAGGGAACAGAGGGCAACAGCTGAAGCTGGAGAGGTGGCCAGACCGGGAATGCCACGTGGGCCACCACCTGCCAGCAGGCCCAGGCCCAACTGAGAAAGCTTGTGAACGTGGAGAGTGGGCAGGCAGGAGGGGAGCACTGAAGCAGGTACCCCAGGGTCTGCTGGTTTGCAGCCCCCCTCTCGGAGAACTGAGAACTACCGGGGCATGGTTGCAAGTGGGCAGGACCCCCCACACCAGCACCCCTGGCTAGACCACACGGGAGTCTGAGCCCACATCAGCCCTTCCAGCAGCTTCTGGGAAGCAGGCAGAAGGAAGAGCTGGGCAGAGGGCAGCGGGGTGGGAGGGGAGCTGCTGCTGCCCTGTGCCTCTCCCGGGGCTGCAGGTGCTGGGACCGAGGACTTACAAAAGCAACCTCGGGGGACCAATCAGCAGGTAAGCAGGAAAGCTGGACCCTGTTTGTAAAATGTGCTGGGAGATGGGGGACCCGGGACAGGGGCCCCTGAGGGATGCTCCTGATGGAATCAGGTAAAGAAGGAGACAGGACTCAGTGCCACCAGGTCCTGGTGAGAAGCTGTCATGACCCAGCTGTGGTCCCACCAGTCGGGACAAGAGTTAGGAAGGACTGCATGAGACCACGTGGTTGGAGGGAGCAGGTCACCTTGCAGCTAGGGGCCTTTCCCCCAAGAGTGAGTGACAGCCCTGGCTCTCACATCACCTAAGGACTTCCGGGGTCCAGAAGAGGGACCCCTGTCACACATCTTTGGGTAACTGAGGTGACGACACGGCCCGGGGCGCACACTGGAGCTCCACTCCCCGCCTCCCTGGACAGAGTTGCCTGTTTTGCAACAAGAGCCACGCAGCACAGCAGGTGCTCAGCAAACCTAAATCCTTCCTTCCCACTCGGTCTACACCCGCTCCCTGGAGGCCCCAGGCCCCACGTGAGGAACTGGCCATGCACAAGTGCGTGCGCCCAGCTGCGCAGGAAGACTGCAGCCCCGTGGGAGGCGACGCTGGGCTGAACCATGTGGAGGGACCCCTATCACACCATTTTCAGCCCACACAGGTGGAAAATCCATGAGGTTCGACCAAGAGGAGGCCTTTAAAGGAGGACAGTGAGACTCCGGTAGATGAGAGGAGCTGGCCGAGGACCCACGGTCAGTGGCAGAATGGCAGCTGGCCCCAGTCAGGCTGATGGGTGCCCTGGTGCCTGCTCTCCCAAACGCGGGAGGTTTGCAAGGAGGAAAGGAGTGGGGCTCACGCTGCCTCGGGACTGCAGAGGGAGTGGAGCCGGCCCCACGAGGCCGAGTGGGCAGATTCCTCCAAAGCCCCAGGCCTCTGAGGGTGGGGGTGGGGTGGGGAGGTGGCAGTCTGCTCAGGGCCCCTTGGCCTGTGGCTGTCCTGGCTAGCTCTGAACCCTCACCTCCATGGCAGCTCAAGGCAGCCCAGCCTCTCCTGTCCCAGCCTCCCCAAGCAGACCTGGGCTTGGAATCCTTAACACCATGACACCCTTAAACAGAGGTGTCTCCCCACCACTGCAGAGCGGGGAGGGGCACAGCCTCTGCTCACCTCTCCTACAGCAACACCAGTGTGAAGCAGGAACAGCACAGGAGTCTGTCCCTTCCTCTTACTCCCCAGTCCAGGTTGCCAGCTCCTTGGTCACCGGGTGATGATCCCTCTAACCTCCAGGGCTGCTGTGACGCGGACACGCTGACCACTGACGACCAGGGACTTCAGGACTTCCAGACACACCCTGGGCTAGGAGGGAGGCAGGGCGGGTGCGAAGTCAGGAAAACTGTCTGGATTTGTTCCCAGGCAGCTCTGGAGACAAGCAGGCCCTAGTGCGACCCGGCGGGTGGGGGACCCCATGGCGGCCCGCCTTCCCGTGCGGGTGATCATCGCTGTGAAGGACGAAGGACCGGCGGGAAGGCTGCGGGCTCCGCGTCCTGACCTCAGTAAACCATCTCCTAATGCCCCTCGCCCAGACACTGTGGACGCGCCCCTTACCTCCTCTGATCTCGCCGCAGGGCGCGGTCTCACGACCCCCGCGTCCCTGGTGGAGACCGAGGCTCAGGCGCACGCCCACCCCCGGGGCGTGCTGTCTGGGCCGGGCGCGCGGCTCTGAGCTCCGGGCTCTGGGAAGCCCACGCGGCGCCGCTACCCCAGGCGCGGGGCAGGGAGTGCGCTCGGCTTCCGGGAGCGTCTGTGCCCGGGCCCCCCCCCCCGGCCCCCGCCCGCCTGTGCCCGTGCCCGCGCCGCCCTCCGGGGTACTTGGCCCAGTCCTGGGGGACCCGCCGCCCGCCCGCCAGCCCCCGGCTGCTCCCAGGCGCAACCCTGCGCGCGGGTCTCTCCCACGCCCGCCCTGCCCTGCAGGCGAAGTGAACGCTGCGCTGGCTCGCTCTCCCTCCCCGCTCAGTTTCCTCCTCCGCGAAATAGGCTCAGACGACTTGCCTCTCGGCCGCGCTGGGAATATGACTTGGGGACCTCCTATGCGCCCCGCTTTCCTGCGGTGCAGAGCCGACGGCGGGATCCGTCCCTGTGTCAGGGAGCGGCTGGGAGGTGTGGGCGGTGGCCCTTTCTAGAATGACAGCTGCCGTTTACGGTGGCGGACTCCGCGGACCTTGCCTTATTTAATCACCGCATCAGCCTCGAGAGGGCGCTTTTCTTCCCGTCTTTCGGATGAAGGGAAATGAACTCGGACATTGAGCAGCTTGCCCGAAACTGCCGAAACTGCCGGGCTAAGCCCCTGCGACCGGCAGGCAGGAAGTGCCCCTGGAAAGCCAGCGCCCTCCCGGCCCCTGCTGGCTGCCCGGCCCCCGCCCCTGCCGGCTGGCCCTGGCTCACCTGTGCTCCCGTCCTGGGCCGCTCTGCTTCTTGGCCTGGCTGCGGAGAGCTCTGTCCCTCCTTCACTGCCCCGTCCTCATGTCCCCTCCTTCACACCCCTGCGTCCCTCCCGGCTCTGCCAGAGCAGGGGGAGCCGCCAGGTTGTCTGTATTTGGGAGCACCCTCATCCCCTTACTCCGCCCCTGGGGCCTGGTCTCTGCTCCCAGCGCCCGGAGTCCTGCACAAACCCGGCTTCCGACACAACGGAAGGAGACATTTAACGAGGCCTGGTTGTAATAGCGGTCCCCGAAGGAGGCTGGAAAAGACTTCCTGTCTGGAGACTTGGACTCCAGCAGGGAGCTCGAGAGACACTTGTCCCCAGTACTGTCCCCTCCTTGCAGGGCAGCTGTGTGCGGCTGGAGGCAGGCACGCATTTCAGAACCTCTGCAGGGCTCAGGGACCCGAGCCTCGCTCCCGGAGCACAGCCAAGGAGCGGAGAGAGTGGTGAAGGCAGCACAGGGCCCCTGTGCCAGACAGAAGCAGAGGCTCTTCTATCCTCATGCCCACCTTGCGAGGCAGGGTGACCCCATCTCAAGGGTGAGAACGCTGAGCCTCGGAGAAGTGCAGGGACTTATCTCAGCTACCCAACTTGCAGCGGCAGGGTTGGGATTTGAACCCAAAGCTGAAGTTCCTTCTCCAGGCCCATAGTGCTCCTGAGGTGGGTGGGAGCCCCTCCTGGCACACAGCGGTTTGGACCAGCACGTCCAGAGCTGTCTCTGCTGGGGAAGGAAACAGCGCCCCCTAGCGGCATCGGAACCCTGCACCGAGTACTACAGGAGCACCTGAGCTTCCCAAGACCGCAGCCAGGGCAAGCAGCAGCCCTGTGCTACCCGTCTGACGTCCAGGGCCAGCCCAGTCCATGGGGCGCTGCTGGCCAGTCAGGCTGCATTCTGCCATCTCTGGGGAAGTGACTTGGTAGGACTTCCCTGGTGCCATAAAAGTGACTGACTCGTCCAGCCTGGAGGCCAGCCCTCCCTCACAGCTCAGTGCAGGCCTCACTCCCCGCCCACCTGGGAATGTCCCATGTGAGGCCTGGGGGTACCTGGGAGCACTGACCCCACAGATGTGTGCGGCCCTGGGCAATGTACTGTGCTTGGTCCCATGAGGAAGCAGAGAGTCGGGCAGATGGGGAGGGAGCCCAGCCTACGCCCAGCTGGGGAACAGATCACGTGTCTGTCACCCTCAGAGCGTGTGGAGAGCCGCTGCAGGCCAGACCCACTCCGCTGGCTGAGCCTCGCCTGTCTGTCAGAGGAGCTGATAATGAAACCCCCCGGGTCTGCTGCGAGGCTGAGCTGCGAGGTCAGCACAGTCCTGCAGGAGACACCCTGCAGAGCCGCAGTGGCCACGCCCACTCAGCGTCCAGCCTGCGTCCAGCGCATTTGGCCACCTTCCTGAGTTCGGCCGCAGCATGTGGAGCAGTCCCCACCGTTTCTACTTCCATCATATCCAGAGGTTGGTGCCATCAGCAAAGACTTAAAAGATGTATGGACGAAGGCCAGCAGGTAGCTTGGTGGCTAAGGTGCTGGACTTCCCATGAGGCTGACTGTGGTTTGAATCCCAGACCTGGCAACTTGCTTTCTCACTTTCCCTCTCTCTCTCTCTCTCGGATCAAATTAATAATGATGATGATAATGATAAATAAAATTAAATAAATAATTATTTAAAAAATAAATAAAGATGTAGGGACAGAGAGTTCTTTCACACTCCCCCCCACTAGGACCACCTCCTCAGGCCATGCAGGAAGCTGCTGGATCTGAGGAGTGGTTGTGGATGGTCGCAGACTTAACCAGGCAGTGACTCCAATTCCGCTGCTATTCCAGATGTGACACAGAGCTGCGTGGCCACCCCAATACCCAGTGTGTGTCTGCTGACCGGGTCATACTGTCCCTCCTCTGTTAAGATCAGAAGGGACCGTCAGGAGTTTGCTTTCACCTGGCAGGGGTCTCCCCTGGCCGATGTCTCCTCCTGGACCACGTCCGCTCCCCAGCTTTCCGACACCTCCATCATCTGAACATCGCACAGGTGTCCTGCTGATCGTGTATGCTGATAACAGGTGCGACTGAACTGATAAGCAGAAGCAAACGTAGACACGTGCCTTCAGAAGGCACGTGCATTCCAGAGCATGACTATGCTCCGCAGAAGCTCCAACTGGTGCCCAGGAACGGCTCCCCGCAGTTCGGTGGGCATGGAGCATGCCAGAAGGTTCCACTGATGGGAAAGACGCACCCACCTCTACCCTGAGAAGGCACAGCGACTGGTGGGCCTGTCTGAACTGGGGAGCAGCAGGTACCTCACTGAGGCATGATTCTGCAACTCCTGAGCAGCCCAGAGGCTCCAGTCTGCGGTGGAGTGGAGGCATGTCTCTGACACGACCCAGCTTACTCGAGGGTGCTTGACGTGTCCTTGACAGGTGGAGCTGCTGCACGAGCCTCTGGGAAGCCTCACGAGAGACCCACAGCACAGGGGGCGGCTGTTCTCCTTTTGAGAAACAGCCTCTGTCTTGCTTTCTTGGCTCAACTGTGGAGCACCAGGTGACAACATGTTGAGTAACAGCACAGCCGTGAGGCGGCATCAGCTGACCCTCATTAGGGGAGGTGCAGCAGCACCCCAATGCCCCACGAAAGGCGTGCAGATGAGCCCCAGCTCAAGCCAGTTCAGGACCCACAAGGAAGTTCGAGGCGGGTGACTGCGCCATGCACCCTGGCCCTCGCTGCCTCTCCCTTGGCTGTAGCTGTCACTGCAGAATGAAACACGTGGGCCTGGTCACACAGCTGGGACAGCTAGACGTGGAGGCTGCAGCTGACAGTCCCACCTACTGGCACCCCGAAAGTCAGCAGAGAGGAGAATGGCCTCCAGAAGGCAGAACTGCCAGGGCGGGGTGGCGTCCAGAGATGGAGACATGGCGGCGTAGCGCAGGGCTGACTGGCAGCCGACCAGAGCCTTGGGAGGAGACAGGATGGCAAGGAGCTCTCGAAAGAAATGTGTGGAGGTGCTTCTCAGAGCAAGCCTGGAGAGCAAGGACGTGTGTCCCGAGGTGCGAGCCCACAGCATGGGGAGGTTTCGGTCGCAGCAGGCAAGAGAGCCCTCCATGGGAGGCAGGCGGCCTCTTTTCCCAGACACCTGGCGCTTGCTCAGTGGACCCATGGAGCAAGCCACCAGATGACCAAGGATTAATGCCAGGTTCTGCAGCTTGGCCTGCTCTCTCGGAAGCTGGCCCGTCTCTGCTGTCCTGTGCCCGCCTGGCAAGAGCAGAGGCCAGCTCGAGCCCCCCACAACGGCAGCATTCCCTGGGGGGACCCGCACCACTCACTGCATGGTGGCAAGCTGGGCACATTGTCCCCTTCCGTCGGGGAGGAAGAGGCGATCCAGAACACTTGTTCTGGATATGAAGGGGTAGGAGTGCTGGGAGCCCAAGCAGGGGGCTGGAGCCAAGGAGAGTCAGAGGACATCAGGACAGGGAGCAGAGGGGCAGGCTGGGTGTTCGAGCCAAGGAGGGAGGGCCACCTCCACACGGTGGGCCACACCGAGTGGGCACTGTCCAAGCTGAGCTCACCAAGGCCGGCACTCCTGAGGGCCGGCAGGGGGCTTGCAGAGGGCGTCAGAGCCAGAATCGGACAAAGTGTCCAGGTGGGGAGAGGGCTGGCTCTAATACCCCCAGCATAGGGTATTAGAGCCCAAGTACCGCGAACAGGAGGCCGCCCATGTGACGGAAGGGGGCCGCCAAGCTGGGGTGCCAGAGCCCAGGCAGAGTGAGGCTGGGAGAAGGGAAATGTGTGAACAGGGCCAGGCTTCTCTCTGATGGAGACGGCGTGACA